TTATTTCATATTTAAAATGGTTACCTCAATATGATATATTGTTCATGGAAATTAAAAGTCATTTTTCGATCCATAACTATTTTCTTACATAGCGTAGCAACTTACAACTTAAATTAACAACGGCGAAATGACGTCATCCTTAGCACATATTTTCCCTTCTAAAATGACGTCATTTTAACGCGGTTCAATTCATAAAGTGCGCTAAAATGACGTTGTTGTTTGGCACGCGACTCATCTGGCACCCCCCATGCCAGATGAAATTTCCGGCATGGGTAAAACTCACGGAAACGCCAGTCTGCTATGCAAGAAATTATTACGCTTGTATTTCACTGAAACAACGTACTGGGCTCAAATATTCAAAACAGTGAAATTATCAAATCGATAATTTCACTGCTTCAAACAGTGAAATTACCAGTTTTTAACTCACTGATATATAGAGGATATTTGTTTGGTGTTCACAAGGTGAAATATATTTCGATCTTACACTAAACTAAACAAATTTTCTTTTTATTATATGCAAAAAACGTTTTAAAAAGACCATTAAACCTAATACTGATTTGAAAACGCGCCAAATAATAATACAACCGGACTCATTTACGACGTCACGTCATTAAGTTGTACCATAACTGTGCACCTGGTTTTCACTGAAAAAACGTAGGGGCTTAAATTCAAAAACATCGTAAATTTATCAAAGTGGGTAATTTCACTGTTTTCAAACGAGGTGAAAATTTGACCAGTTTATTTCACTGATTATTTTCTATAAACCCCGAAAAAGCATGTAATAAATTTCTATAAACCACCGAAAAGCATGTAATAAATAAATTTAACTTGGAGTAATGGTTTTTCGGATTAAACAAAGATATTTGTATAAATTCTGTTAATATAAACACAAAGAATCTGAGATCTTTGATTGAAATTAATGACTTATTGGCGCATGTATCAGTAATAGAGTGAATTTTAGATTTTTTTATATAGTAACAAATAAATCGCGATAAATTTGCGATTTTTGTGTGGATAGTGGACATATTATCTTATAACCATGCACGAGACATATTTATCTTCTTTGTTTTTATCAGATTGCATTAAAGTTCCAGTGTTTATTTCATTCAATTTAATTCGGGATTATAAGACATGTACAAATGTACTGCGAAAATCATATCCAAGTAGTACCACACGAACAATTTCAATTTTATGATCTAAAATGATGTGTAAAAGCATTAAATTTTATTGCATAATATTGAATACGTTTCAAAACTCTCATCATCTTTTTTCTCACTGAACGTTTGTACTTTCACCAATCTGATTAAAACCAGCTTGTTATTAACACTACTCTCATTAACATAAATGGTTACCTCTCGGATAAAACGACATCCCGATATAACGATATATTTGGCGGTCTCCAGAATATCGTTATAAGCGGAGTTTACCTCTAATTAGACAGAAGCATGTACATACTTTATTGGTAGTTGTATGTGGCTGTTACTCTTATAAAGAAGTAAATTATTAAATATAATTGGCATATAGTTTTCATCCTGATTGGAAAAAATCTCCTCATATGAATAATATATAAATAACACATAGGTTTGTGAGTAACAGTAATAACATTTTCCCGAGGAAAATACCGTTAGAGCTAGGTTAGGGGACGTTGGTCATTATACTCAGGTACCCGTTCGTGCCTGAAATAATGCGCAGAAGTGTCCATGGGGTCTTCCTCCACCAGTAAAGCTTGAATGTTGCCATATAACCTTTACAGTGCCGGTGCCACGTAAATCTAAACAAAGATATGTTTTATAGAAGTATCAAGATGTACAGTAATCAAATATGATATATGATTTCTTTGCTTTATCAGTTTCATATTTCGTATTTAGCTTAGTTTTTAGATCGTTATATTGATTAGACCGATGATGAATATAAAAAATCATATACTTTATGCGGGAATATTTTTACTTCCGTGTTGGGTGAAAATAAGACTTCTCACAGTTTTACAGGAAATGTGGGGATTAATAACATAGAAGTGGTTTCCAATAGAGGAAATATTGCAAATGATGCATAACACAAATTTAAAGGAGCTCGCCCATCAAGATAAAATTAAACCCAAAGACATAAAATTTGATATTCTCGCGTAGATCAAGTCATGTACTTTAAATAGAAAAAAGTCAGGAAGAGATGATAAAGAAATATACTCAAGACTTTAATTTTGAAGATCGATTTTTGCACTATTTTTAGCCCGTTTTTATGTCATTTTGCACAATAAAAATATAATTTTGGAAAATGGAGTGAAAACATCGAACTGAAACTTTGCACACGAGTTATTATTTCAGTCGAAGTGCTTAATAGTCTCAGTGCTGCCGCTTTATTTGAAGCGCTTAATAGTCTCAGTGCTGTCGCTGTAATCGAAGTCTCAGTGCTGTCACTTTATTCGGAGCGCTTAGATGTCAAAATACATCCAGTGTTTTAAATAGTATTGGAACCTTTAAAACAGTTTACAGTGATCTGAAAACTTAAAACTCGCAGAAATATTATTCTCAAAGTAGTTCCGAATAAAGTAATCCTTTTTATATCATAAAACTGCAGTCTTTTATGAGCGGATACAAATCAGTTCCTTTTCCTAAGTGATTTTATTAAAGAGTCATTACATTAAAGCATGAATCTGTCTGTAAAAGACATTGTGATAATGGAAAAAGCCGTAAAGGTGACGTTTGAAACGCTTATAGAATGACGTAAAGAGACCGTTTGTATGACATCAATATAATATATATTACGCCATTCACTTTATTTTAAAATTGACATTTTGAATTCTCAAAGATATTCAATTCTTTAGATCTTGAAATAAATATAAAACTTCTAAAATTTGATTATCGTAACCTATTTGTATTTATCTTTAACATTTCGAGGGTAATTCAATTTATTTACCTTTATTGTCATTGATAATGTCAACGTCTTTTACGTTATTTGTAAATTGACGTTAAGGATAGTTTTCTCATGCCGGCGTTGAATTATATTTAATTTAACTTAATTTGATTTAATTTAATTTAATTTAAATTTACTGAAAGCTTATTCGCCCCTCCTTTTTATTATCGCTGTTGAACAAATGAAGAAACCTAAAACGTTTTTTGTTTAATAATATACATTTGTAGCTTTCGGGTGTGGATATGGCCAATTTGTTACAACATTCTACAATTGTTTATATATAAAAAAATATCAAAATATCAAAAAAATATTTTCAAGCAAAATGAGCACAGTAAAAAAAATTTCTTTGGTCTATATGAGAAGATCCGTGAGTCACAAGCAGGTATTTGCTAGTCCCGAAAGGGTCATTTTGTTTTGTAAGACCACGGTTCGATTCTAAGGCTAATTATGCATGAGACGAAACAATCAGTACGGTAAATGCAGCTTGAAGACGTAAACTATAAATGAACAAAATGAAGACTATAGTAATTTAATTATCAAAAAGGCTACCATAAAAGCATTAGAAAGTCATGGAAATAACACTATTTTCAAATTTTTCTCAGTCCATGGGAGTTGACACCCTTCCCACACCTACCCCGTTACCTTTGAAAGGTGCTGGCGATGAAAGAGTAGGCTCATTTTGTATTGATAGTATACTATTACTGTGTAGAATATAGACTGTGTATTTGTGCCCCCGCCATAAAATGGCCGTGGCATATAGTGGTACCCTGTTCTGTCATTCCGTCATCATCAGATTCCGTTCATTATCTTAGTAACGGTTGCACACATTCAACTCAAATGATTTTGGACAAATGTATCCCTCTTGAATATTGGAAAAATTTTGAATGTTCAGTTTGTGTTAACAAATTTGGAACAAAATATTATAACATCTGAAATTTTGGCAGCAGCAGCGGGGGGCATCAGTGGCGTGACGACACATTTCTAGTTTGTTGTTGTTTTTTAAATTTATTTGCACTGTCTCATTTGTCGAATTTTACAGGATTTGGCGTCTTGATTTATGTTTCTCTTAAAACTTTACGATTGGGACTCTTTAAATTTTTAAACGGATGTTTTGTGTCATGCAATAATTCCGACTTAATTTTTCTCTCATTTCAAAGGTAATTAATATTAATGCAGTAGAATTCATATTGAAGCACCTGATTTATTAACTTATTTATCTATTCTGTATATCTATTTTATTTTTCCATTTTATTTCTATTTTTATTTATTTATTTATTTATTTATTTATTTATTTTACTCATTTATTTTACTTATTTATTGATGTAATTTTATCTGCCTATTTATTTATCATTAAAAACTTAAGCAGTTATTCTAATTTTAGATAGCACCATTTACAAATTTTATCTATACATTTACATGTATTTGTCACATCTACATTCATCTTTTTTATCTACCTAATATTTATATTTTATTTTTTTTTTATTTATTTATTTATTTATTTATTTATTTATTTATTATATTTATTTATTTATTTATTATATTTATTTATTTATTTATTTATTTATTTATTTATTTATTTATTTATTTATTATTGTTAATTTTTTTTTACTTCAGCGCCGTCATCAAACTAATTTGATCCATTCATTAATTGTGTTCTTTTACTTCTGTTTAGGTATTAAAACAACAAGTCGATAGAAATAGCGCGTAAGAACAGCGACTATAGTATTCACCAGTATCGATAATAAAAGTTATTCACATCGACAGCGGATACAGCATCATCTTTAACATCTGACAGCTGAGGCAGTTCAGTCTGCAAATGTTCTTACATCAGAGCGTTTCATTCTGCTACGAGATTTCCTTTGACAATTACAACACGTTAAGCGTATAATCAAACTGGATGCTGTTTAACCGTTAGATAATAATAGAAATCGTAAAGCTGACAAGGGAAATGATTCTGAACCGGAGTTAGCTGCAGACACGTTCATTAATCACTATTGTCAAAAAAGGTGCATTGATAGTGTTCAAACTTTAATATTTTTGTTGTTGTTTTTTTCCTGGCGTCTTTACTTAAAGAAAGTATGGGATAGATAATTATTTTTCTTACAGATCGTTACAAAATCTTTTAATTTTCCGATGTATAAAACATGCAAAATAACGCGTAAGTAAATACGCTGATAAAAAGTCAGTCATGGCTTAAACAATGGAATATGGAATTAATTAAACTGAAAATGGGAACCTGACCAACAATGAGGCTATTTTATGTGATATTTCTCTATTGTTTGTGTATGTGCTTTGACAATAATCAAAGCAAATCTGATAGCCCAACAACAAATAAACCGGGCTTGCTTCCCCAGGACCTTGTGTCAAACTTATCAAACGTCTTTGAGGAGCAAGACATCGAAAATGACACTACAGAAATTCTCCCACAGCAAGAGTCTTCAACTGCAAGTGTTAACCGATCCGTGATAGAAGTTTGTAGTGATACGTGCTCGTGTAGTGTGGAACAAGATGAAGAAAATACATTGCTATGTGTCAAACCTAACAGTCTTGACAAGTTTCCATTACTTAATGATTCATCTTTAATGGGGAATATTACAGTTATGTAAGTATGAATTACTGTATGTCAATTTTATGACCGTAATATTTTAAATAATTTCATACCTTGAAAGATATGACCAATGATGATTCAGCGTTTATACACGTGATGTTTAAACAAAAATCATTATCGGATCGAATCAAATCAACTTAGCCTTTTTTTCATTTCAGGTGTCCTAAGAATCCATATCAAATACATATTGTACCCATATCGTAGCCTCGTTTTCATTTTTAGAGTCCAAAATATCTATATCAAATGCATATGGTACCCCATATAACCTTGTTTTCATTTTCAGAGTCCAACATATCTATATCGAATGCATTACGTACTCCAGTCCAGAAAGTCATATTAAATCCTTATTGTATTTTAAGTAAGAAAGTTCTGTCAAATTGTCGAAAATGGTGTTTTGAAATTAAAAGTTCATTTAACATTGTTGAGAAGTATACTGATTCTATTAGGCTCGTACACAGCTGCAAATTCTATATATCACTCGGTTAGTGCCTCGGCCAATATAAGTTTGACAGTTGTGTGAATAGAATTCAGGATTGAACTCAACAATGTTTAATCACCTCATAATATTAAATGTCATGATATTGCAAGTCTTTTTAAATGAATTTATGATAACACCTACAAAGGTAATGTTATGAATTATTGTAAGTTGTTATGGATAAGAAATTCATTTGGTGTCAATAAGTAAGAACATATTGGCAAGAAATTCAGTTTCATCTTTTGTAAACACTTTTCCCTTACTTATTCTTAAAGATGACTGTGGCGCCGTTATATGTCCCAACACCGCTAAATGTCGCACTTGTCACTAAATATCGCACCATTGCCGCTTAATATCGCAACCATCGCGTAATGTCGCAAAATCTTCTACCGTTAAATGTCGCATTTGTCAAATCCTTTCCCAATCGAACTTAAATAAATATGAAGATCATGTAATTTATGATCATATGTTATTAAAGGCTTACTGTTGTTCCTGTCTATGTAATATTAAATATTCTTAAACATCACGTGACGCTTCCCTTTATCTCCGTCAAAGTATAACTTATAGTTTAACCAACTTGTCAAATTACAAATAACCGAACAAAAAACACTGAATGAATGTGTCGTTCGAAGACAAGATTTTAATGATCTCGATAAGAAGTGAGACGTAATAATTTCTGACTTGCAATGCAATTCATTGAATCTCATTGTCGGAGTATTCCCTTGTCATTGTGAAAAGCATCAGTCCTGAGAATTGAATTTATACGCAATTACATGAGGTCACAACATTGTACTATGAAACGCGTTCCAATTTGTGTTATTTAAGTTTGTTTCTTTACACATTTTTGGTCAAATCTCGGCGGATGAAAATTGAGTATAGCTTAAGACGGTGCTAGGGGGCATGAGGGATGTTGCTCTTTTTCATTATCCTTCATATACAGAGTCAACCAAACCGAGTCTGCATTTGGAAAGAAACACCATTTTTTCTTAGGCCTATTTCTCGTACAAGAAAGCAACATTTTTAAAATGGCATTCCGTGAATTTATTGAATTTATAAACAATAAGCAGGAACAGAATACTTTAATTTCCTTGAAACATTACTTTTGTGTCGGAAAATGCATTAGATTACATTTATCTCTGCATTGAATAATCTAAACTTGAAGTTTCAAATGAGGATTATCAATTACTTTTGACAACTTGCTTAAATGAGTGTCTGTAAGAGAACATCGACCTTGAGGTGATATGTGTTACATGGATTCAATATTGTATAGTAAAGAAACAAAACTGCGCAACTTTTGTTAAAGAAACAAGTTATGTTAAAAAGCAGACGTTATATTGTGTAGAATTAAAAATAATAGAGAAAAGTATGTAATAAGATAAGCGTCTTTTTTCCTCACGAATTTAAAGCTGCATGCCTCCAGATGAGTCAAAATATATCAATAAAATTAAACTTGAGAAATATGTACTACGATTTTAGGAAACGTAAAATGGTTCAAGATTCATGTAATATTTTACATGTTATGTGCGGTTAATGACTGATTTTTTTAGTATTAACAACTATATTTCTACTGCGTTACTAACGCTGTAAGGGCAATTTATGCATATTTTGACTTCTTGTTGGTAATTTACATGGCTTGTAGGTGCCATTGATAATGTGTAAATGGCTTCCTTTTGGTTATCTCACAATATTATACATTCAAATACATTTTCAAATTTTTTATGAAAATTAGCATGAATCTGGAGGCGTGCTGCTTTAACATGTTGTTCCTTCTTTAAAAGTTTCTGTCGCGGTTTATGGTTTTACATCTGCGGATGATTAAAAATTTAACCTGTTCTTGTTAAAGGCCCATTATGCCTCAGAGATTCTACCAATTTATTTTTTAGAACTAAAAATTTTATTTTTGGGTATCTGGTTACACTAATAAAAGTAATTCCCATTTTCTACATACATGGACTAGCTTTTGAAAATATAAATCTGTTGGCAATCGGTGTTATAGTTAATAAGTATTTTTTATGGAAGACAAAATACTACTAACTAAATACTTAAATTTCTGTTATGACAGTTTTAGTATTTGTATAATTTTAAGTTCAAATGACCCAACACACTAGAAAATTTTTATATAAATGTTCTAATGTTAAAAAATTGTTCCGAACCATGAAATTTGTAAACGATACAAATTGAAATACATTTTATCTAAATATTAAATAGGTATTTTGAACGTCATTCAATATTGAAATAGATTATAAAACAATGATGAATATTTATTATTCTGTGTGTTTAATAAGTTTAATATGCTGAAATTAAAGTTTTTGCAAACCGACCAGACAGAGCCTACAACCTTTTTTCAATGTTTAGGCGTTGTAACAACGCACTTTGGGGTCCAACGCATTTTGGGGTCCGACCCCAAAGTGCGTTAAACTTCGCATCGCACTCTTGGGTCATCATTGATTATAATACAATGGTGAATATTTATTATCCTGTGTATTTAAATTCTAATTTAATATGCTGATTTTTTCAATATTTGAGCGTTCTTTAAAGGAGCTCCACTGAGGTCAAAAAGCCTAAAAACATTAAAAAAAAAAAATTCTTACATAAATCAAGTGACGCACTTAAAATGGAAAAAAAAAATCTGCATAGAGTAATAAAAATACTCATAAATAGATTTAAAATTATTGTGTGATTCTTAGCCCGATTTTGGGTGAAAAGCGTTGTAACGCTTTTCATTTATTGGGTTATTTTGCAAAATAAAATGTATGATTCTGGAAAAACTGTGAAAGGGAACGATTTGAAAATTTGGAAAAAGGTTATTGGTTTAGACATAGATCAAATGGTACCCACATATAAGGAAAATATTTCCGGTCCCATTATGCAAACAAAAAATCAGTTGAGTCCCTTTAATGAATCATTTTTTGATCATTTTTGCAATGCTGAACACTGTAAAAATAAATCATAATTCCTTGATTTCTTTTGTCATTTGTCAACTGAGTAAGGAAAATAAAAAAGAAACGTACCTCCTAAATTTTAACCTTTTTAGCATATCCGTAATCTTAAGAAAGTTGTGCAGGTTTATGTACACCTATTTTTTTTTGTTTTAAATACACCTAAAGAAAGACAGTAATTTATATTATTTTCAAGATTGATCCACCTGGAAAGTGCCACCAAGAAAATGTTCTGTACTGCTTGAATTTAAAACATAACTACCGTCACTTAAAAGTACCTTCGGATACAAAATTTGAAAATATCGTTTCTAAAGAGATTTGTGCATTGCCTTATCTAGTTTGTACGTAAGATATTGATAAACAATATTAATGATAAACATTGATAAACATATGCATTGATAAACATAGATATTGATAAACATAGATATTGATTAACAAAGACATTGATGAACATAAATATTGATAAATTTTGTTAACAAGATGATCTGCTGAGGTAACCTAACTTGTTGCTTGCAAAATCCATCTCACGAATCAGACTAGTTATTTTATTAGGCAGACTTTTATTGCAGATCCTTAAAATTTTCATCTTGCAATTAAGTGGCATCCAGAATCTTGGAAATAATACATTTGTCTTGCATTGAAGAGCTTATATTTAGACAGTCCTTTTAAGTGCTTCATGTCGAATTGAAAACTTGGGGTTAAAAATGCACAGACATTCCTGTAACTTAAAGTAACTTATCTAAAACATGTCTATAACAGTAACCATTAAAGATAGCAGCAATATAGCAGCAATAACGTTACCTCAGTTTCATCAAAAGGATTGATACACATTAATGTGTACATATATGGAATAATATTATCTGTTGATAACGTTTGTTCGTCAAAATGGTCAAAACACCGCGTATGGCAGAGAACCACAATTTTCTTACTGAATATGTGGAAAAAAAAGAGTTGAAAAACGTGCAAACTTGAACAAAAAAATGTGTCATTGCCAGTTATTTGCAAAGAGCATATTCATGTGACTGCATTGTAACATTCATATCTGGGTGAATATTTTCTTACAGCTACCTAAATGTTTATTTTGATAAAGAAACTTAATAACTGCCATTTAAGATATTATAAAACACACCGGATCTTTTTTCACAGCAATTTTATTATTAATTGTGAATTCGTGTTCAGATGATTAATTGTAATGAGAAAAGCGCTGACAATATCTATATAAGGCTTTCTTTATCAAATATACAAGTGTAATTACTTTTTCAGAGCTATATAAAAGAAACTATTATTAATCAGTTGAAACACTTTTTGTATTTAACTAGTGTATTGAATTGATCAAGGACAAACAAAATGACAAAAGAAATATCAAATTACGTTTTGTAAGCTAAACAATTGTTTCAGCATTTAGCAAAGAAATGTAGTAGTTAAGCATACATGTCCATTTGATTGCCCTTGTGACTGAGGGTTGCCTTTACGGCATCATAATTGTAGCCACCGTTTAACCCTGCGTGATCGTAGGAGGCGACTAATTGGGTTCGAATTATTGAAGTATATGCATCTGTTAACTCATGCTGGTGAGGTGA